ATGTTCTAGAATCTGACACTTTAAACATTTTAGCCCTTGCAAGAAAAAGTCTGCATACATATCAGTTAATCAAACGATCTTTACTGAGGGCACTGGATTCACTTGAGAGGACACAAATTTTGAGGAGGAGCTGTCTGTGCTCCCCAAAAGCCAATAGTCAAGCCAGGAAGGCAGACATACCCAGGACAGCTACCTATTTGGCATGGCCCAGTTCAAAATGAAAATACGAGACCCTCGTTCATAAATGATGAAGAAATTTGAAAGGGTAGCAGCAGAGCACTAAACCAAGAATAAGAAAATGGTCAGTCACAGACACACACTATAAATCTAGGTTTCCAGATCACATCCCCGAAAAACGAATGATTCTCATGATTCTATTCCCCAAGAAACGAATCAGTGTACCAGCAAGAGCTGGAACTGTAAAATAGCCTTAATTTGGAAAGTGGATGATATAATTTCAATTAAAAAACCCTCTCCTCTAATCATAACAAACATGAGAAATGTATTAAATATTTATTTAATGTATTAAATATTTCTCTTTAGGTTTATATAAGCACCTTAAGCACCCCTCACATTAGAAACAAAATTGCCCCAGCTCCTGGCCTCCCTTCTCTCAATACTCAGTAAATTCTCCTTCCCACAAATGGCCAGAAAGTGTTCCATAGCCTGGAGTTCTTACTGGTCCCTCAAGGTACAGAGTGGATCACCCCTTTCATCTTTATAAGTATCCAAGCTTAAGCCAGAACCAATAAAAACCCTGTTTTTTTGGCCTACAGACAGTAGTGTCAAAGAGATCAGGTTTATTCTGGATACAGAAGTAAACAATTCAATTGAATGCAAACTGAATTCCTAATTTCAAGATGAGTTTTTAATAGCTGATATTCTGTACAAAAATTGTCATTTGATGATGTAGGTTAAGGGCCACATTTATCAAAAGTAAAGTAGAAATTTTGTGTAGGGCCTTTTTTATGTGGTTTTTTTTTTTTTTTTTTTTTTTTTTTTTTTTTGTGCTGAGAACTGCTCTAAGGAACAGTCTATGTGGTCAAAAATTGATGATGAAAAAAAAAAAAAAAAAAAAAAAGAACTGAAAGGCCGGCCAAATAGCTCAGCAGATTAAAGCACCTGCATGCAGGACCAGGGACTGGGGATTTGATTCCCAGGCCTGCTGTGTTGGCCACACCCCTGAGGCATGCTGAGAGGGTGATTGAGACTGGGTGTGGTGGTGTATGCCTGTAATCCCAGCTCTTGGGAGGCTGTAAACAGGCAGATCACTATGAGTCAGATTTAGTAATGAGACCCTGAATACCCTGTAGACTCTTCCCTAAAAAAAAAAAAAAAAAAAAAAAAAAAAAAAAAAAAACGAGGATGACTTTAGGGCATGTGTGTCACTGAATTGAGGTCCTTCACCCAAAAGGTCTTGGGAAATGGAAAACCACTAACAACCACATGTGTGAGTGCAGAGAAAATTTCTTCCCTTGTTGAGCCTTGAGATGCATGTAGTTCCAGCTGACACCTGATGACAGCCTTGCTGAACATCTTTAGCAAGAGCACCAACACCAACACTATTGAGCCTAGATTTTGGAAGCCAGAATTCACACAGACCATGAGATAATAGATGATTACTGGTTAAGGTGTTAAATTTTGGAGTGTTCTGTTAGACAATGAAAGACAAATGCTATGGTTGGGATATGATTAGACTGTGTTCCCCAAATGGTCATATGCAAAAAGTTTGTTCCCTAGTACTGAGAAGTGGTAGATATTTAAAGGTGGAAGGAAGTTAGATCATGAGTGCATCACCTTTGTGAAGGGATTAATGTGGGTCTTGTGGGATTGGAATGGCTCCCAAGAGAATGAGTTGGTATCGAACTGAGTTCAACTACCTCAGTTCACTTTGCCCTGCCTGTCTCACCAGTGAGATTGCTTCTGTAGCCTTTCCTGCCGTTGTCATGCCATCTACTCTCACTAGAGCCAAATGGATGATATTCAATAGCTTCACATTGTGAGCTAAATACACCCCTTGTCTTCTAGTTCTCAGTGTTAGGTATTTTGTTATAGTGCAGAAAATAGGTTAAAATGGTAACTAATACACATATCATAGTTACTACACTTGGAAGATTGCATTGAATAGGACCATTTCTAATGACTTTTTCCTTTACTTTGGAGCAAAATATAAATGCACTGAGAATGAATTCTTTTTCTAAGAACATGTAGAGGAACAAAAGTTTGCTGTTTAAAAGGAGATGGGAGGGTTTGTTTGTGATAAGTTCAAATATATCTAACTTTTAGTCATTCATTTCCCTTTTCTACTATATGAAAGAAAAGGCTTAACATTAATGTCTCTGTTATGTATGATGCCAAAGAATAGTGGGCTAAGACAATTTTTATCCTAAATTGCTTTTTTACAAGTTTATCAATACTTTGTTGTAGAACATTATGCATAACAAGGACTGAAAAAAAGAGAGATTTAAGAAAAGATTGACTCTATCAAAAGTTGATGATTAAAATATGACATACAAACCCATATGCTAAGAACATCTGCAAATGCTCTTGCCCTTCATGCCTATGAAAAAGTAGTTTGCCTCCCAAGCCAGGAAAGCAATGCCAAATATTTATACATTTATCTGGAAATTTATACATTTATCTAGTTAAATACTGATTTAACTAGGTAGAAATCAGTAATAAATGAAGTCAGAAAGACAGGGTATACTTGCTTTGATGTATTGGGATCTTGGATACTGGAATAAAAAAGGAATTCAAAAAGAATAAGGAGGAAGAAAATAGAACTGAGGAAGTAATTATGACACTTCCTCTTCTTTTGTAAGAGCTTTATGTTCAGGTCAGCTTTTAATGACAGTTCTGTGTGATTGCTCAGAGCAGAATCCTCAACCTCGACCTGAGAACACTATGAGTTTTTGGAATTTAGGAAAAGAGAGACAGCTCTTGGATATAGATTCTTTATGTTGCACGTGAGTACAGTCACTCTTTGGCTGACACACAAGAAGGAATTGCTTGACATGTGAAGGAGGTACGACAATTTATGCTCTAGCATTCTCTTCACAACAGTGAGATCTGAAACGTGGCTCTTGGGATTTGATATTTGCTTAGCTCTTTACAAACCTGATGTTGCGAAGTCCTTGTTAAAGGCACTGTAATTCTATTAGAGCTTTGGAGAAAGTTGTATAAGGTCCTGCTTCTCTCTTTTTCTTACTGAGTGTTGCTGAACCGATAGTCCTTTGGACTGCTGACCACCCTTTGGTTTGGAAAAGCTCAATTCAGCATTGTTTTGGTTCCAAAGAGTTCACTTGGGGCAACACCCTGTGGCCACTCCTTTTTTTCTTGTTAGAGAAATTGTGTTCTGTGGGGATAATCCCTTTTTACTTGCAGAGAGCTGATGAGGGATTCTTCTATCAGATAAAGGACACAAGATGGAGAGAATATTTCTGGTGTGAATATGAAGGTTAAATGTTGTTAGCACCCAAGGTTCTTGGATTTATTATACATAGAAGAATTTAATCATAAGAGTCAGAAATTCTGTGTATGTAGAAGAATTTAACTGTAAGGGTTAAAGCATCTTTGACTATACTAGTGGATTTTATTAGTCTTCAAGCATCTGTGACTTCCTAATTCTCTCCTACGCATTATATAGTGGTATATACAGTCTGGTTTTTATATTGTTATTTATTTTACATGGAATATTGAAACAGAAAGAACATTGGTTTCTTTTTGTTTCTGTCACGCCAGTGAGTGGGAAAAGGAGATAAAGTCTGTACACTTGTTGATGTGCTCATTCTTTTTACCTTTTAATTGTTTCTCTTTCTTTTATATATACATCAAGTGTCTTTTCTCTAGAAAAGTTGTGCATGAGTATTTCAGGCAAATTGCATGAGGCAAATGCATATCACCTGGGTATAGAAATAGGAAGTTCTGTTCTGCGGTAGTTTGCTGTGGCAATAAGAGATAAGAAATTGCCTCATGACTGTTGCCTGAGACTTTCCTTTTGACTTGTGTGTCCTCCTTGAACAGCTCACTTCTGCTTTCCATCTCGCTTGGATCTTAGACAGGATGAACTTCTAGCCAAAATACAGGTTAACAATTTGCAAGTAGTTTTAATGTGACAAATGTTTAATGTAGTTGTGAAGATGAAACTTAAAAAGAATAAGCTTTTATTGTGTTGAAGAAAATCCTGAAGATGGGGGATTACCATACTTCAAAGCTCAGAATAGTGCTTTTTACGTTATATGCCTTCACCAAATAATTGTTGAATAATGTGGATTGTTTAGGAGATGAGTGTGATATGATGACCATTGCATCATTTCCATCACCCAGGCATTTAAAGTAAATACTGGAGGAATTCAAGGGGAAGCAGGAGAGAATATGAAAATGTGGAGTGAGAAAGAATCTGCAGGCCTGCAAACAGGTGCAGGGGTCAGGGTTTGATCCCCAGGCCTGCCGTGCTGGCCCTGCTCCCAGGGTGCACTGAGATGGCAATTGAGGCTGGGTGTGGTGGCATGCGCCTGTAATCCCAGCTCTTGGGAGGCTATAAACAGGTGAATCCCTACACGTCTGATCTAGTACTGAGACCCTGAACACCCTGTAGACCCTTCCCTAAAATACAAAAAAATAAAAAATAAAAAAAGAAAGAAAGAAAAAGAAAGGATCTGCAGAAAAGAGATGATTGAAAGGCCTAGGTCAACAAAGTGAAAGGTGTGGCAGTACAATGTTTGAGGTAAAGATGATGGTGGAGGTGATGGTGTGAGTAGTGAGGGTGAAGGTAGACATGGTGGAGGTATAGGTGAAAGTGTAGGTGGTGGAAGCGATTAGATATGGCAGGGGCAATAGAGCAAAAGGTAGTGGAGGTGGTGACTGAGAAAGTTGCTGAGGCACAAATGGTGATGGGGAAGATTCTGAAGATAGTGTTGGAAGTGGTGGTGGTAGTGTTGATGATGGGGAGGGCACTGCAACACACACACACACACACACACACGCACACACGCACGCACACACATACATGTGCACAGTTTGGGGCCCATGCATCTGTATCTACCACTTAATAGTTCTATGACACTTAAGCTTATGAAGTGGTGAGTTTGATATATTGATCTTCCTGGGTTGTTGTGTTCAATAAAATGTGACTGTCAAGTTCCTGCCATATGGTGATATGCGTTTGCTTCAAGTGGCATCAAGAAGTGGGGCCTTTGGGAAGAGATGAGGAATGGGAGGACCCAACCTTCACGAATGAGGTTAGTACCCCTGTAAAAAGAGTACTTTTTCCCATCAGCTGCAAATATGGAGAAGGTACCATGTTTGAGGACCACATCCTCATCTGATGCTAAATAACCTGGCATTTTCATCTTCACTTTCCAGTTGCTAGTACTGTGAGAAATAAACTTCTGTTGTTTACATATAACCCAGCCTATGGTAATTTGTTATAGTATCAGGAATAGACCAGTACAAGCATTTATTAATCTATAAATGTTACAAGCTTAGTTACTAAATTGCTTGAGCACATGGTGATATACAGTGACACCTTCAATAATTTGTAATAGAAATATTACCTTGATGTACTACTGTCGCAAAAGCAGGAATACAACTTTTTTTTAGGCATACAACTTTTCACAATGCAAAAGTATCATAGAGAAACAAGATTGAGGTGAAGTATGCTAAAATATATAGAATGGGTTTATAGCCGTGGTCATTTTTATATTTGTACTTTTATATCTATATAATTTTTATTAGCTATACATATGTGGTCCATCTTAATAATCTGAAAAAATATTGAATGAAAATGAATGAACAAAAATACTTTCTTTTAGTCTTTTACTATACATAAAACAAAAATAGTTTTTAGTGATGTTGGGCTAAAGTTTGTGGTTCATTGCAATTTAAGAACTGACACAGCTCATGGTACTTTGTCTTAGTAGGGGAACCCCCTTTGAATTTAAGGCTGGAATAGAGTCATGTCAGCTCTTCAATGAGAACGAACACAGACAGTCCCATCTGGAGCATCTGGTCTGAGTGATTTCTAGAATCAGAAGAAAATGTGATTCAAGAAAAGGGTATCTTCCTTGCATAATTATACTGAATAACTTTCTAGCAAGTTCAATAACCCATTCAACAGCTAACAGTTCTAAGTTAAATCTACTGAAGATTTTTTTTTTTTTTTTGGCAGAACCGGGGATTGAACTCAGGCCTTTGTACTTGCCAGGGAAGCACTTATTCGTCTGAGCCATTTCTCTGGCCCATCTAAGTTAAATCTAGATCTGTCAGCATAAGACAATCTATTTTGGGGACAGGATCTTGCTACATAACCCAGGATGGCCTCATCATGATGCTCTTACCTTAACCTCCAGTGAGTTGAATTACAGGCATGTGCTGGCACGCCTGGGCCTGGGACTCAGTTGTAAAGGAATTATTTATATGTCACTAACATTTTGGTATAAATGGGGAGAAGTCATAAACACTGTTTTTTGGAGTCAAGAAGTAATTGCTGTTGTTAGGATCTTCGCCCTACCACTGCATAGTGTCAGTGCAACATTATGGAGTCCCTTATCAGAGACACAAGCAAGATAAAACATTTTGGCTTGCAGAATTGAAAAGTATTGCCTGCCTTTCTCTTAGAAATGGCTGAGTGAGGGCTATTTGACAGAGGAAGAGGTGAAAACAGATCAAATTTTAGCAAGAACAAGCTTTTCTTTTATTTTTTAAGAACAAGCTTTTCAAGTGGGCACGGGTAATAAAACAGAAGGAATTGAAAGTTAAAAAAAAGTTAACAAGTTAAATTCATCTCCAAATTACTAGAATGGTAATGAATCTCAGAAAAAAGACTGAGAAAAAGACCATATCTGCAGTGAAAACTAGTGGAGTTTGGAAATGAATGATTTAATTAATCCAACATTAGCACAGCATGCAATATGGGCTGAAGTAACTCATGGGTCATGGCATATTCTGAATATTTTAGGTCTAGAGTACAAAATTTAGAAAAATACATAATGGCCTAGAACACTTGATATGTTCTAGCCAGAACACTGATATTCAGATGCATTTAAATTGACAACTTCAGCCACTTCTCAAAACAGACCTGGGAAACAGTGCACTTGTCATCCCCATGAAACTAAAATGTAGAGAAGTGAAATATCCTAGCGTCTCTCATTCATTCTACACAGTACTACATCATTTTTATTTATGTTAAAGATTTTATTACTTAAAGAATTTTCAACACCTTTTTAGTGGTAAAACTGTAGGTCTTAGGTATGAAGAATTTCAATGAAGTGTGGCAGAACACAACTATTACATGCCACAGCCCAGACAGTACTCCTAGCTATTAGATCTATGTTTTTCCTGCTAAAAAAACCAGGGCTTCATAAAAACTCAAGTCAAGATGAGTTCTCTGATATTCAAATTAAAAATTTATTATTTTTTTACTTATATGATAGGGTGCTATGTAAATGGGCAGCAGGAAGGATCTCAGGGCGATAGAATTGTGAAAAAAAAATTCTCTTGCTTTTACCAACTTCATCTGCAGTACTTTGTTATGAAAGAATTAGGAAACTAATTGGGGGGTTAAAGAACAAAAGTCATTTTAGCTAGTTGCAAGCCCATCTACACTGCTGGCAAGCATTTCTAGGGATCAGTTCCAACATGACTCATTTCTCTGACTTTAACCTGTGGCGTTGGTCCTCAAACAGTAGACGCAGTTTATCCTTGAATGGGAATGAATAAAGACACCAAACAATGAAGCACATTTACAGAATGAAAATCAGGCTACTGCGACATCTATAAAAGGGCATCCTTTCAGAGATAGAGTCTAGCTAAAGTCCTGAATTACTATGCCAGTGTGGTAATTTCCAAGTTACAGAACATCAGTTTCTATTACATATTGAAGAAAAGTTCGTCTATTCAGAGTTGGAAAACAATGCTGTTCTGGCTCACTGATCTAAGTGTAAAATTTAAGGGTCTGATCTAAGTATATAATAAACAAGAACTTCTTAATTAATAAGTGTTGAAAATCTTAATTTTTTTCTTGTT